AGGAATGATCAGTTGCAACTTGTGTGTATGACATGTTGAATACGCCTCATCCGTTTATCCGTTGATGATAGGTTTCTGAATTAATGGTCAGCGGACCGAGAGCGGCACATCTTAATTTGTGCGGTTCGTACATTTTTGTTAACATTATATGAATTTTCGTCGACATTTCTGTGTTTATTTTCAACGATGCTTTTTTCAGTAGATCAGAATGTTCAGCGTCGATTTTTTTCATCAAAGTACCGTCATTTTCACACAACAAATTCTCATTTCGTGTCACTTCCTTACACCGTTGTTCCTTTTCATCGGGCCATCAGCGAATTACATTTCTATTTTTGTAAAATAATCATCAAATTCAGATTTATGTGGATTGCATTGGTCACTGCACTATCAGTGGAAAATACATAGCGGAGCAGTGTCCATTCATTATTACTAAAGATGTACTAATCGACCACAGTTTATTAAAATTGATTCAAAGCAATGTAAATTGAAAGACAATTATTGAGGAAATTAATAACGGAGTTACTACTTAAGAATAACTCACATCTGATGTAGTCCATCAAGATTGATGCATTCGATTCCTCAAACTTCCCATAACGCGCAGTCACATGGCCGGTGACATGTAAGATAAAAGAAGTAAAGAGTAAAGCTGTCCCATTACTCAACATGGCGTTTTTGGGGGATTACCTCCTACTCATTCTTTACCTCGGCACTACATGGAGGGGGGGTGAGTGGTCAGCGTCACGCCCTGACAGGGTTTAACCCCGGGAAAGGAACCCGGTACCCATTGGGTAGGAGGCTGGTTGGGTCCCAGAGCCGGTTTGGACGCAGAGGCTACAGAAAAAATTCTCTCTCCCTGTCGGGGACCCATGGTATTAATTTATTGTCGAGAATGGTTGGACATATGCGTTAAATCTGGTACCGAGATTTTTCCATTGAAGCCTAGTTCACAGTTTACTTTTTAGTTTCTTAAAATTAATGTACCAACGTGACGGATGCTGAAAGTCGTGAGGTGGGACGATGGAATTGCCATTACGCACAATCCTCTGCATAAACGTGATAACTTCATCGGTCTTGATGGCGTTCATGTCCACCAGAACGTAATTGGTTGGGCAGATTTCCGGGAAGTTTGTTGTGGGCATTTTGTAATTTGAGGCTAATCCAGAGTTGTAGTCAGTGTTATGGAATCGGAGTCGGTAAAAATGTACCGACTCCGATATAAAACCTTAAGAACACTTTCGCTACCTTGTGAGCCGGCAACGGCCTCACGCATAGGGAGATTCAATGACGCATGAGCCACGTGGTGTGGGAATAATGCT